GGTTTACATCCACAGGCAAGCTAAGTAGAATTAATGCTCATGTTCCCATGGGGACAGGGATTGATATTATGACTACTATTATGTCTAGCTGTTTCATGAGCTGTATAAAAAGAATAAGGGATTTGTGTGTCCTGCCATCTGCTGTCCTGCCATCTGTGAGTGCCATCACACAGGTCAAGCACAGTTTGGCTTTTAGAGGTTAAATGGAATTCACTGGACATATAAAATGCCTCGCTAGAGGTAATATAATTCTATTTGACATTCCCATAGGGGAATTAAAGAGACAAGGATTATACAAAGTAGTATTGGCAGTTTAATGTCAAATTTGAAAGAGGTAAATTAGGAACTGATTAGGTAACTACCAGCAACTTTGGCCCTTCTGATTTTAAAGGGCACAAAAACCAGACAGATTCATGGAATGCAGTATTTCTCTAAAAGATATCAAAGGTCATTGCAAACATGGGCTTTTATGCTAGAACTCAGATTTTAACAAATTTAAGGGCAAATATAAAGCTAGAAGGTACTTTGTAATTCGCTTCCTAGTAAAAGCATAGGTCATAGGAAAAGACATGCAGATCTAGATGTTTTTGTAAATACAGTAATTACAGTCATTTCCTATGTGTAAAATGTCTGTATTCTTTTCTGATAGCATGCATTGCCAAAGATGATACATTTTTCACAGAGAAAAGTAGTTGCTTCTTGACACAGACCAGTATTGGCACAGTTTGAATTTTAACGTTATTCACAAAGTTTGAATGCATTTTGTTTTAAAATACATGAGGAAATGTAGCACCATGCTAATTCATTCCCTTCAGCAGATTTTTTGCGGGGAGGAGGCAATATTCTGAAGTAGCAGGAATAAATTAAATAATATGATTAATAAACTATGTAATTCTGTAGTTAGGACGTTTTTTCCCCACATTTTAACAGTTTTAAAACCAGTCTTTTCTATATGAGTGAGTTTAACTCAAACACCGACTGCAGTTTCAATATTAAGATATCATTGATCACGATCCTGCCCACACAGGTTTGACTTACTCTTTATCAATGCTTACATGCTCTGTAGAGCCTTTGCTGCCTTCAGTAGATTTTGGTTTTATTCTCATAGCTGAGATCTCTTAACACATAATTACCCTTCCTCTTGTTTTTCTTTTTTTCGTAGATTGAATGCTCAAGTATATCTGACTACTCGGAAAAAATTATCAAGGCCAACCACTTGGACAACAGTAAGGCATATATAAAAATAATTTCTTCAGGAGAAAGAGAAGATAACTGTTTCACTTTTTCTGATTAATTTATGTTGTGTGGTTTATATGTAATTGGTAGTTTTGAATAATTTACTTATATAAATACAAAACTAAACACCTCATTCTAGGCACTACAACAATTCCTCACGGGAGAAGTTACTTCTACATTTACTTCTAGGCTCACAAACAACAGAAGCAAATAGGACTCATCAGCAGGCAGTTTGATTTAGCAAAGCAGACAGAAGACCCCATATTAGATCTGAACTTTTCAAATTAATTCTGCCATTTGAATTCCACCTTATCCCTTAAATTAAATACACACACACACACACTTACATTCAAACTGAAATAAGGTTCAAAGCAAAAAGTATTCCATATCAATATAGATTTTTCACTAAGAGTTTCTTCTGACTTCCAACTTTAAAAAAAATTTTTTTTAAAAACCATATTGAAACACACACACACAAATGAAAATGCTCAATTCTCAGAATAACAGTATCATAGAAAATTTTTTTTTTCTTGAAAGGAAAACTGTTGAAATTTCCAGCGATGTGGAAACACTTCAATTAAAAAAGATACTAAAAATACCCCCAACCTACTGAAAACTCTTAACAAAAAATAGTCTCCAACAAGCTCTATTTCATGTATTCAATCCTCCTCCAAAACACTGCACACAAGATATCTTTGTTACAACCTAAAAAATCAGGCTTTTTTAACTGAGGCTGTGAGCCAGTTCTTATTTAAAAGTGCTCTTTGTGAAGAGCTTGCCTTTGCTGCAGAGCAGTGCAGGTCATAGCTGGCTAGACTGTTTCATTTGCTTCCACTTTTAGCTGTGTCTGCACTGGTGCTATGCTAGCACATGTGCAGGAATAGATTTCGGAGATTTAGCAGATTTAGATCTGCTCTAATTTTTATTGCTGTCACTGGCAGCTTCTGACTAACACGGAGCTGTTCGGGAGGAGAATTTATTTTACAGCATGTGTATTCAAGTGGTGTGGTGTGAAAGAAACAGCAGTGACGCGGGATATGAGAGGCCAGCCAGTGTATGCAATTTCGGTTCAGAAAAAGAAGGAAGCAAAAGACTGGAAAATATTCTCCTCCACAGTAGGGATAAGGCGCTAGAACAATGAGGTGTTGACCTCAGCTTGGTTATCCTGCACCTTCAGTGCAGAGCCCGTATATTCCCAGAATGGCCTTTCATCAAATAGCTACACAAACAGCATACCATAAATCAATTTACATTTGGATTTCCACCAACAGGAATTGTGTGTGAAGGGACCATTGATATGAAGGATCCAGTGTGCTCCAGAGGTTGCAGAAGGTATTCATCTCTGCTTCTTCCTCCTGTTTCTCCAAGGATCAAGTCCTTGGAAAAACTGTGGAGCAAGAAGTAGAGACCCCTTCCCTTTGGCAGAAGACTTGCCTGGACAGTCTATCCAACTGCAGTTTGGTCTCCAGTATAAACAAATTACATAACTGATCTAACATTTACATTTACACACTTTACACTAACCCACATTCACTTTTATTTTAATGCAACCAGGTACTGAGCCAAAGGATCTTGTTGCTCATGGAAATTTTTCTTTTTTCCCCCTAATTGTTTAGAGAAATGCAGAGTCAGCAAAAGGGGCTGAACCAAGAGAAAACCCACTGTTTCCAGAACAGATACAATACAGCTGGGGACAGCACAATGTGTTCCCACATGGTGCCTTATGAAGATGTTTCATCAAAGTGAAGGGAGGTGGGAGGAACTTGTGCTGCTGCTGCTTACACTGTGACTGTTCTAGGTATAAACAGAGGGCTTCAAAGTCTGCAGGTGTGTCATTCTGGCAGCTGTCAACAGTGGTAAAATTCACTCCAAAAGAATTGTGGCAGTGAAAGTTCTCAGGAGAAAAGAGAACTAAAGAGAACTCGTGGCTGGAGCTTATAGACATGAAGAGTCTTCAGTATAACAACAGATGAACTATTGAGCTACTAACTGTGAAAGGAAGGAGTTTAAAGAATGGGAAGGAGAAGAGAACTCTGCTCTTTTCCAATCAGGCTGCTCTTACCAGCTGATACTTTGTGTTACCAGTCTGAATCAGAGTGCTCCCAACTTCTTAGGGAGCCAGTCTGGATTAAAAGTTTGCTATGCAAATCAAGTGGCCACATCTACTTTGACTAATACTAGTACTGCATGTATTTTGGAAAGGCAAAACCTCATTTTCCCTGGGCTGAGTTCTAAAAATCATTTAACCCACACTTCCACTCTTAAACAGCTAAATGAAAGTACCTAGTTAGTTCTAACTAAATGAAAGTACCTTCATCTTCCTCAAACTGAATGTTGACCACTTTCATCAATAAAAATTGGCATCATTAAGAATTGCCATTTATTAAGAGTAATACAGTAATCTTATCAATTAGTAATGGAAAATAAAATATTCCCTACTCATATTATTCCTGAATTTCAAGTGCATCAGTTACCTTGTCAAGGAAGAATCCAGAACCATGAGACTTTACCCACTTCAACAAAAAATACAAATAGCAGACAAACACAAGCTGAAGATTATTTATCTAAAGAATTTGGAATACATTTATAAATAGGAAATATATTTTAAAAAATGCAAGAATGATTGGTGAATTGTGTAGTAATCCTAAAACAAAATTATTTGTTACAACTGAACTACATATGGACCAGCATTTAAATTTCCTTTAAGCAAAATATCTGTTCTAGTATCAACCAATTCTATTAATTGCTTGTTGATTTGCTTTTGCAGTGCAGACCCAGTCTCCTGTAAGTAGTATACCATATTGCCAGTAATTTATTGCACTGTGTTGTAGTAGTGTCTCTGAGGATCTGGTATTCTATACCATCAAACTTCCAGCAACCTTTTTAATTTCCTTGAAACTAATTTGGTGACAAAATACCTGACAGCAATGTTTTCCAGCAGTCGCTTTAGATAACTGCAGAAAGTTATGCAAGTCTAAACCAGATAGAAGATTCAGAGTGAGAATGCCAGTATGTTATAAAAGATTCAATCATGAAGCAGAAAGGAATGAAAAATGATTTTTCATGAGAGAACCGTGTTTGTACAAATTTTCTTATTTGTGTACTGTCAGGATAGATCTGCCATTCTCAGTTGAGTCAGCTCCCCAGAATTCATGGAAGAAATAAGCCTTAGTTTCCTCATTGTGAAGCCAGCATAATATGTTGAAAAGCAGAGAATTAGATCCTAGTTCTGTAAATCTCTAATATCTCAGTGATGAGATCATGTATGTGTAACCCTACAGGGATGTTTAAAGGATTCTAGGTGGATTCTTTGCATTACTTGGTCAATGATCTAGAAATCTTCCAAATTCCAAAGGGCGTGTAAAATGAGATCATGCAGGTAACCAGGTAAGGCCTGTTTTTCTGTTGTTTTTTTATATATGGGTTTTATTTAGTTTGGGTTTTGGTTCTGTGTTTTGTTTGTTTTTTTTTTTCCTTTTATACTGATACTAAAACTTCTGTTTATTATACTTATTGCAAGTAGTTTTAAAATAGTGTAAAATCCATTGAGTCACATCGAGTCACCCCTTATCTACAGGCATTCAAGAAGAGAATCATATTGAAAAGGTCAGCCTGACATTCACTAGTAAGGAACTTAGTCAGGTGTTTTATTATGTGAAACATATTTCTTTGGATTCTTTTTTCAGTAATCACAATATTTAAAGGTAAAGTGGAAGAAGTTGAATTACCCGTGGATAAAGTAGACATCATCATCAGCGAGTGGATGGGTTACTGTCTATTCTATGAGTCAATGTTAAACACAGTCATCTTCGCACGAGACAAGTGGCTGGTAGGTGCTCTGCATGTCATAGTCCTTGCTGGAGCAGTCGTCATTTATTTTCTGACTACAAGCCTTCCCTCTCCTACAGTCACCATAACAAGACACAGTTACATCTCCAAGTGACATTTTCTAGGCTTTAATGAAAAGATTAACAAAGGGAATCTCAGTGAAAGAGCTTTGCTTTCAAATAACTACTGGTGAAGTTCATATAGACACTATCTAAGACGTTGCCACAGGCTGCAAGAGTTGCTGATATTAAAGCTGATGTGACAATCTGAAGGAAAACAATAAAGGCATGCAAGGGGTGCTTGTCTGGTTTTTGTATGTGCAGTTCAAAATGTGATGTCTTTGTCAGGTGAATAGATTACGAGATCCATTTCCCCACAATTCATCAACAGAAACCTGGAGGGCTAATGTTTCCAGACCGAGCTGCTTTGTACGTGGTAGCAATTGAAGACAGACAGTACAAGGACTTCAAAATTCATTGTGAGTAAATGCCTAACAGTAACCCTTTTCTATGGTTATTTCCCTGGAATATTTAATCTGTAGTGGCCTACCATAATGTCTTCGCTGGCAAAGTTTTGCAAAAGCCAAGAAATCACACTGACCAGGCCAGAATTCCAATATAAACGTGAACACTGAGAATACTCTAGTCTGGTGATAAATTCAGGAAACTTGCAGTAATTTAAAGTGCACAAAGGAAAGATGCATGAATAAATTGTAGAGCTTGCTTAGAGTTACATTGATATCTCTACGTCTATTTTAAAATGTGGATTTTAAGAGATTTAGGTTTGTTGTTTTGATAAATACATCATCGCACATAACTGCCATTAAAATTGGTAATATTGGTAATAGATGGTAATGCCAGCTAGGTGCTGGGTTTTGTTTTTAAAATAACAAGAACAGAAAAATTAATAAGATGCAAATTAATTGTAAATGTTAAGAAATCAGCCTAGAAAAAATATCTCACTAATAAGCTTCTCAAGAAGAAAAAAAACATGTAATGCTTTTTTGACTTTTTAAAACACTATGTGAGAATTTTTAAATTAAAAATAAGGATCAAAAATTTCCGTTTTACTTTGATGTGAAAAAAAGTTATAAACTTCTTTGTTTTACTTCATAGATGCATAAAATTGACTTTTCCTTTACATTTTAAATGTTTATTTTTCCCGTGAAGTTTCATTGAATAACTGGTGCCGTTAGTGACCTCTGCAGGTCACCTAGTCCAGCCTCCTGCTCAAAGCAGGCCAGATTTCACAGTTAAAGCAGGTCACTCAGGGCCCTGCCCTGCGCAGTCAAGGGGTGGGGATTCCGTAGCTTCTCTGGGCACTGGTTCAAATGCTGAAGCACCCTCAGGAGTAAACATGTTTATGAATATCCAGTCACAATTTTCCTTGCTGAAACTTATCTTAATTGTCCCTTGTCACCTGAAGGGAATCTGACTTTTTCTTTGTTTCTGTAGGAGCAGATAGCAATTAGATCCCACCACTAGCCTTTGCTATTCCAGGCTAAGCAAACCTAGTTTTCTTGGACACTCCTCATATTTTAGCATGTGGTTCACTTTCATCGCCACAAGGTCATACTCCTGGTTCACAGTCAACTTGTTGTCCCCCAGGTCACCCAAGTTTGGATTTATTTGATCATCATAGGTTTGATGAAATGAGCAAGTTCTACATTGTTTCACTATTCTTTTATTTTTTAATTTTTTTAATTTTTGACTTTTATTTATTTTTCGGAGCTGGTCAATTTCACTTTAAGGCATTTTCCATTAGGGGAAAAAAAAAAACAAAACACAAAATTCCTAAGCAGTTTTATTAACTAAGGATACATTCAAAAGCTTGGGTAAAATTAGTGGGTTCAGTCAAACTTTAAATGAAAATGCCTAACTCCTCATTCCTTGCCTCTCAGCTCCTCTCAGAAAAGAAAGTTTGGTGTTTCTGTAATCAAATTCAGTGCCAACACACAGAACTGTCAATGCGTCAGAACTGCCATTTTGGGTCAAAAGCAAGCCCAGTGCAGTGGGGCAGTGACAGGAAGTCTGTATAGGTGCCAGGGAGAATTATATCTACTCCTCAAGCACAGCCTAGATTTTTCTCCTCAGTTATGTGGTGACCTTGACAACTAAATTCCTTACAAAATTTACAGCTTCAAAAGGATGAATGAGGCTTCCATTCTGTAAAGGAATCAAAGCCATTTTGGCCTAGAAAAATTCCTTATGCCTTCTTTCACCTTGCTTTTGAACTCCTTCCTTTCTAGGCCTTGAGTCTTTTTCTCTTCTCATAGACAATACACCTGTTTTGAGCTTGTTTATTTTTTCATCATTTAAAAAAAATGTTTTGGGTTCTTTTTCTCTTCTGAAATGATGTTTTCCTTTAAGACACTTTCTTTTCTGATTCCCCCTCTGATTTCCCTTCCCCCCCTCACTTTTTTATACCTCTGTGTCTTCTGCAGTTATTTCCATCTCACTACCTATCTGCATCACCATCTTGTCTCTCTTTTCAGTTTATAAATCCTTGATGGTGTCTCCTTACATTTCAATTTTTCATCTTTCTTTTTTCTCTCTTAAGGTGGATAGAGTCTTGCCTTCATATGAGATGCAGGGCTGAGCATTTCAAAGGGCACTCAAGAACCATCATATTGATTAAGAAATAATGCAATATGAGGTTTCTAAAGAACTCTGACTTCTGCTGTCTCAAACTTTATTAATGCCACAGAGTATTACTGTAGTAAATTACTCTGATTTCCTGCAAAATGTAAAACATATAATTTTGTCTTTTAACTCCTGTGACAGGTCTCTGTCTAATACAGACTGTGGCATATATTTCAAAGGCATCCCATGTAGGCTGAAGTACATCAAGTGATGGAGGCCCCAACAGCTCTGTTAATAAATTGTTCCTTCAGGGTTTCCTAGTTAATCTTTTCTGAGTAACCATGTGAAAACATATGGCTTCTATAAATATAATCTGAAGTTCCCACATGCTCATGATGCCTGAAACAAAAGTTTTAATCACTCTCTCCCCTGAAATACTAAGAAACTCACAGCCCAATAAAGAGATAACATATCAAAGAACTGTTCATGTCCAGATTTGTTCCAATTTAGAAATGTGCAGATCTTTTGCTCATACTACGTTTTCCATCATAGTCCTCTGGGAGCACCAGTAACTCAAATGCTATGCTCTGAAAAAACAAGACATTTCAAACATGCTCAATATTGCTGTTTATCAGTTTACCTTGCTTGTGTTCAAACAATTTTTTAAAAAGTTCATGGTATTCAGTTTAGATTTTCAAATGGAGCACTGAATGGACCTTTACTCATATGGTTCATAAGACTAAGATTTCACTTTTTTTGGAGGTTTTTGTTTTCATTTTGTTCAAGGAAAAAAAAACCTCAGCAAGATAATAAACATTTATCGGAACAATCAGAAGAACAGTTCAAATATGGAAGATCAGTATGGCTTTTAAATCTTTCAGAAAGTGGACATTTTGCTTTTTTGTCATGATGTACATGCAGATTAAAACTTGGATGCCCCAAATATTGAAACACACCTGTAATTCTACTCCTGTCAGTAGTTCACTTGTTGAAACTAAGACTATTTAAATAAGTAGAAGAGCATGCAAACTGCTGATTGAATAGCAATGTATAAAAAAAGGAAATATTAAACAGAATGAATAGCAAAGGATAGAATAATCTTAGCAGCTCTTTCCAAGTCTCAACCTGACATATTATATGATTTTGGGCAACACTCTCAAATGTCTAAAGCCATGAAAATCATCGACAAATCTCATATAACACAGTTTTGGGGACACCAAAACACAAGGGCCACTTGTTCAAAGGTGTACATTGAGGGGTTATTTTGCCACAACTGCATTATCTGTAAAATAGCAATGATGACATAGACAACTGGGGCAGGGAGGAAAGAGCTAAGGAGGAGAGCTGAAAGTTAGGGGATGGTAGAAATTCTTTCAAATGAAAGATACTTTGAGAAACAAAAAATATTTTTATTATTACTGCTAATCTTTGACACATCCATTTGCATTGACAGGGTGGGAGAATGTGTACGGCTTTGACATGACCTGTATTAGGGATGTTGCCATGAAGGAGCCTTTGGTGGACATAGTAGATCCAAAGCAAGTGGTGACCAATGCCTGTTTAATAAAGGTTTGGTAATTCCAAATATACCTAATTATGAATGTTTACACCTAACTGTAGGATTCTTTGGAGACCTGCTGCTTATGTTTTACTACTATCTTTGTATGCTTCTAACTAGCTGCAGAAGCCATCATCATAGAATGCTATCACACTAAGAAGGAGAATTGTGCAGTTTTGAATTAGTCAGTACTAGTATGTTGCACATGCCCACTACTGTCACCTGAACATTGATACCTTGATCACTTATGGAATACCCAAAAGCAAGCTGCTCCTTGTGACTCTGTACTCATCTGGCTACTGCTAACTGTAACTTAAGACTTTTACAAATTATATGTGTGCAAATACTGGATAAAGACATGGTGTATTTAGATATGAGTTTTAATTGCCCTACCTTCTTGTAAACAGAGGTTGGAAATTACTGATGGAATGCTGCTGAGGAGAAGAGGTAGATTAATTCTGTTTGCACTAAAAAAAGACTGAAGCATCAGTTTCTGAATTGGTCAGCTCTGATGAAATAACTCTAATTTATTCCAGAGCACGAGATCAGAATTGGAACCTAATTTATTTGTATAACTTCCTAATTCTTAGCCTTATCCAGAATGTTACTGTGCTCTCCCAGCCCCAACATCTGCAGCCAGAGGTTAGCTTGTTCCCTCTACATATAAGTTCTATGTTCTACATATAAGACAGAATGGTCACTACTTCCTGTTCACAAGAACACGTTCCATAGCCTGCAGGAACACATGAAAGCTCTCAAATTCCTTCCACATGAAGTAATCCTCCTCATATGGGACTACTGTCATGAATAAGGCTGTCCACATCAATAGCAGTGGTAGGATCAGTTCCATAAATCCAGGAGTGTGCTCATTTATCCCAAAGGCTCAGTTCTAATTTTTCTCTTTCACTTTTTGCCAGTAACAAACACAACATTAAGTATCCCCATATGCTAAAAGGAAAGATATGCCTTTAGTCTGCAGAACCTTTACTGAAAGCAGCAAAAAGGAACAGAAGTAGAAACTCTGTGTGAGTACGTATGCATGCACAGTCCATCTGCACTGAGGGGAACACAAGATGATTGTGTCTGAAAACAGCCTGAGCCAGAGCAATTTAAAATTGCAACACACACAAAATAAACAGCTATTTAGACTGCATAAAATACATCTGGAGAGTGAGAGATCAGGTGGCAAAATGGGTTGGCTTCTCTGGAATAAAAAGTTGTAAAAGCCGCATGCCCTTAAATGAAGTGCAAATCTAATGCTTTCTTTAGAAGGTCTTTGAAAGTAATTGGATTAAGAAGACAGACAAAATTTTTCAAACTGTTCCTATTCAGGTTTTATATTTAATTCTATATGGCCTGACATATTTTGTCCGTACACTGAAAGGTGCTTTACCATGTAATGGCACTTTGGGAGCAAAGCAGGTAATAACTACACAAGCAGGAACCACTCTCTGTCCCAGAATCTGACCCTAATCTCACAAACTGATCACGAAAAAAAGAGAAAATTGTCAATGAAAGGCAGGAAGGTGGGAGGCTTTTCTTCAAGCTAGCAGTATGGAAGCAGGAAAAACTGAGGCTGCATTTCTTTTTTTAATTTAATTTACTTTTGCACATGGTTTATTTATATAAAGTGCATTCTTTGATCCCGAAAATATTTGTGAATTCAGAGAATAATATTAGCCTAAGAAAACAGAGTTTTTAGGATTTTTTAGGGGTGTATTCAACCCAAAACCAGCTAACTTAGGGTGTCTACCAGATGAGTCTGGATTCCCTATACAGTAGATGGACTAGTCACTAGATGCATTCCTAACAGAGCAGTCAGAGCCCTGTGCTTTCTGCAGTTATTTTAATTCCAATTTAGATGCTCTGAATTGTTCTACAAAATCAGCAAAATAAGACATCAACCCCTGCATGCTATGTAACCACGACACTTATCTAGAAGCCTGGAGACTTGAGTAAATTGTCCTCATTTGTACTCTTCAGGAACTGGATGTAACCCAAGTCTTGAACCCTTCAACGAACTCTAGCCACTAGGCCACAGGTGCACTGGGGGTGGTGCATGCAGGGAATACAGCATCTTCTCTGTTGTGGAAGCAATTCCCCTTTGAATGATCTCTTAAATGTATTCCAGGGGCATAGGAATTTTTCCTGGCAGGTAGAAGTCCTCTGTTCAAATTCCAAACCAAATCAGCCAGGGAGGATAGTGGGACCAAAGCATCTTCAAACCACCGAAGTCAATAACTGATCTCAGGAAAAGTGTACAAGTGTCCTTCTGAGGGCCTACTGCTTTAACATTGCCTGAAAAAATGGAAAGGTTTATTTCAAACTCAGTAAAACAGTTGTGTTTTCTTCTCTGGTCCCCTTGCATATTAGAGAAATACAAATGGTTTTGGGTTGACCCAAAACTTTTTCTCTATGTTAATTTTGACTTGGTGTCAGCACTAGAGACTACAATAAAAATAAATCAATTGTTCACACAGCTGTAGAAAAACCTGCAATGAGAGAGTGGCAAAAACTCTCAAAATGAAAGAAGAATGAAGAACATGCCACATCAAGTTTATAATAAAAAATACTGTTAGACTTCCCTGAATATCCTCCCCTATCTAGCCATAGAGAAAGAACAAAAAAAAAAAAAAAAAGAAGTAAATCTAATTTTATGCTCCCATTTGTCCCACACTTTCCAGGAACAGTTTAAAGTTCCTGCAGGTCACACACCATTTTAAGATTACACAGTTTAATCCTACACAAAAAATGAATGCAACATTCTTGTTTATCAGAGAACATAGCATAATAGCAAAAAAACATTGACCTATATGCTCAAATATCCAGTTCTTTGAGAAATTTCCGCTGTTTTGGAAATATGATTCACCTGTGTGAAGCCTTATTTCAAAGGACCTGCAGTATTGTCTGCAAAATGGTACTGTTGCTCAGAGAGATCCAGCCACACAGGTGAGGCACTTGTCTGTGAGCTGCGATGAGTCCCATGTTCTTCTCCCATAGTAATCTTGACCCATGATGTTTAGGACAAGGCATTCCTCATGAGACTTTTCTCTTGCTCCACTGCAACTTCAGTGAACTCCCTAATCACATTCCTTTCTCCCAGCTTCTCCTCAAGTAAAGCAAGAGGCACCTATGCCACTCATTTTCCATCTTTCTTCAAACACTGCTCTTTTTTTCTCATTTTTCTTCTCTACTCTTTTCTCCACATGAAAACCTCCCTTCCCTTTCCTAAGTGACTTTCCCTGTCACGCTTTCCTTTCCAACAGTTCTCCCCACAGTCTTTCCTTTCAGCAACCTCAGATTTAACTCCGCTTATTCCGGCCCCACCACCACCCTAGTAATTTTCAGGCATTTCCTTCTGTGCAAACAGGAAAAGACAGCAGAAGAGGGGCCCTGGCAGGAGGCTGAGGTCTCTGTTATCTAGAAGCCATAGCTACATTTGCTTCCCTGTTATTTCATCTAATAGAAGACCAACATATGCTGCAATATCTAGTCAAAACAATCTCAGATACTCCATTCTTCCTTTCACTGCTCCCCCGAAACACCCAGAATTTAATGTTGTTTCTTCTCTCCCTACATTAATACTGTTAGTTCTCTGCACTCTTTAAAAAAAAAAAAGAAAACAGAAAAATAATTTTCTTTTGGAAAAGTGAATGTGTTATGGGGGCTGACTATTGCATTCAGTGCTCCCCTCACATCTTTATGCATGCATGAAACTCACAATATAGGTCATTTTCTCAATGTTTGTCAGAAAAGAGGGTTTGGCCCCTTCTCCTTTCCCTCGCAATTAATTTTGCTTCTCAGCCTTCAGATCAATCCTTGTCCTAAAGCTGGCAATACTGCTTGTACCAATGCCGCCTGTCCTCCAGCTCCTACACCAGTTCAGCACCTTTGCCTGCTATGATTAGCACTGCTTTCACCATCACATCCTATGGTAGGGTGACCATTTCCCTCTTTGTCCAAACCAAGACAGCTAGTGCAATGGGAGAGAGGAAGGGGGGAAAAACCCCTAACCCCAAATCCAAAAGAAACAAACAAAACACCCCACCAAAACCAGACATTGATTGAGATTTGAATCTTTAACTTATCTCCATGCTCACACAATCCTAGCTGAGTAAGCTGACTGGCTGGGAAGCAGATCAGAAACGAGGTGGAGTGGCACCCTAGAAGCAACCTTAATTATGATTCGCGTGAGGAAATGCATCAGGCAGCAAGTCAGCATTTTTCCCATCAGCAAACCTGATTCAAGGCTGTTTCTCTCATTAGTAAGGTTGCCTTCAGCTAAGGTGATACCATTCAAACGAGAAATACATAGCAGCTGGCAACACTGCATCTCAACCTCACTGTCACCATCCCCGTGATTCTAAACGATCTTCTATACATCATTTGCTCAGTCCTAAAGCAATTCGTGCCACAGGACAGTCCAAGAACCATTCTTTATGCAGTGAATGAAAAAACTGGACCTCTGTCTCTCTGCAACAAGGACATGTAGCATGCATGTCTCATGGTCTTTCATGCAGTGTCAACCACAGTCTCAACCTTCCTATTTAGCTGAGAATTCTGACGTTTTTATTGTTGCTCAGCTTAACACATTTTATTTTTTTAGTATAATTAAGAGCTGTATTTTGTTCAGTTCCATGCTTAACTATGCCCATTTTGTTGTTGTTGGTTTTGAAATCTAAATTAAATCTGGTAAATCATGACTTCTCCACTTATTTTATGCAAAGATAGCATTTGTCCCCTGTGCTGTTAGCTGTAATTTACATTCAATAAGCAGTGTTATTTAATGTAAGAATATATAGTAGCCAGAGTACGATTCAAAGAGATCACCAAAACAGGATCAGGCCAGTTTCAAAACTATATTAATTAATAAAAAAAACGACATTTGTCTCGTATCTTGCATAGTAAAAAAAGTATGTTTCTGTCCTTAAAAAAATGATTGCATAAGTGACCACCATTTTATCCAGCACATCTCTTCAATATTTCTGAGACATTTCCACTAACTTCTGTAATAAAAATAGTTCCGACTGCTTTTGATTCCACTTTACCCTGCAGAGCCAACACAGCTCAGAGAGAGGGAGCTAGATCCCTTTTATGTGCCTCATCATCGCACTTAATTCACAACTTCCGCACAGTGATACCACTAAAAAGCCACCAAATATTACAGAAATCTGCAGCTGTCACCCACCAGTCCAGTCTAGCTTTTCAAAGCAAATTTTGCAGGCTGCTATCGAAATCTGCTGGGAGACTTTGGAAATTCTTGTTCCTAGTATGTTTTTTTATTTTATCTTCTTTTGAGGAAAAAAATACCTTTTAAGTCTATCCCACCTTTAAATGACCACTTATAAACATGGGTCACATAAGCACTAATGACTCAGAGTGCCATTGCAATGTACTAGAATGATTTTCATTATTGTTAAGTTATTCTTAACAGTATTGCTAATCAGACAGGCCAAAACTATAGCTTGCTTAAATCATCTCACCATAAGTTTTCTAAGTCTCAGAAACACATGATATGTGGTCCATGCAAAGACCTCAGTAACTGAAATATGGCTGCATCTTTTGATGTCTATTTTTGCAGACTTCTCTTGGCTTATAGAATGCAATTGCTAAGAGAGCCCTCTATTGTGCCCTAAAAGAGGCTAAAAGAGCCCTCTAATGGACATTCTAGACTCTGCTCTCTATTTTTGCAGCGTGAGTCTGAAGTAATGCTGGTGAGGTCAGTGATATGATTCCTGGCTTATGTTGGCAGAGTAGAGGAAATTTTTGCCTCCAAAGCTTCTGTTTCTCTGTATGCATGAACAGTTTTGTTGTTAATACTGACTTTCCAAATAATAGAGAGAAAAATATTTTGGGGGTATCCGGCTCTTGCCAAATATGCCCTCACAAAGACAATAAGGACGGTGAAGCCAGATACACTTAGGAGGATATCAGAAAGTGCACTGATAGGAAACATTTCCCATAGCATTAGAATACAATTAATAGTATTTCAGACTTAGTATCCTCCCTATGATGACAATGCTTGCAATACCTAGCTGGGAAAATCAGATCCACCTGAAAAACTCAGTTTAAGCCTTGAACAGTGAGATTTAAATATTGATGGAAATAAGCAATCTTGGAGACTACCTCATTGCTCCCAACTACTGCAATCAAGTCATAGTACAATTTACATGATATGCATGTCTCTAGTTCAAGAGTAAGATCCCTGTGCTTACTATTTGGAATTGGTTATCTGACATAGGACTAGAAAGCATTATCAGCAAAAAGCAGGCCCCTGTCATGCCTCAGATGTTTTGACTGCTTGACACAGTCAAAGCACATTCCCTTCCAGAGACGCTCAAACAAATCAGAAGTTTATTTTTTTAAAAACCCAACTCTGCCATCTTTCCTCATGCTGACAGTCCCTGATGATGAAAGGTCTTAGAAGTGGGATCTGTATCTCCATTTCAACATCCATTGTGCCTATATTTGTCAAAGCATGGTTTTACCTTGATTTCCTCCAGCTCCTGCAGCCCCTCCCTGCCTTTCCCAAGGATGTACACTCTTCTGTAGGTGGCCTCTCTTATCACACTCGGTCAACTTAGTCAGATAACTGGATCATTTTCTGATGATTTCATATATTCAAATGTGCCATTGATTTCTTACAGTGTTAAAGGGTTGCCAGTTGTCTTTGTTGCTGATCATTAAATAAAATGCTTAAGTACGTCATTTAACACTTACCTTAGAGTCACAGATATCTGCATGTAAATGCCTTTTTCTTTCTCTTCAAAACAGGAAGTAGATATTTATACAGTGAAAACTGAAGAATTGGCATTTACTTCTGCATTCTGCCTCCAAATTCAGCGTAATGATTACATTCATGCCTTGGTCACCTATTTTAATATCGAATTTACAAAGTGCCACAAGAAGATGGGATTTTCTACAGGTAATCTGTATTTCTTTTCTATTGCTATCAGTATATCAGTGCTACTGGTCAGATGGTACATGGAGGCTTACTGTACCATCAGGTTCGAATTTCAGTAATAAAAAATATTGTCAATTTGGGGGAGGTGAGCAGGATGGGGAAAGGACAACTGTTTGTAGGAATTCTGCAAAAACAGGCAGGATTTCACAATAGCTACCAAGCTTAGAGCTCAGCGGGAATGATGACCCAGGAGTTTATGTCCATCACCAGTTATATCTAAATCCTGTGTCAAGTTTCTCAGCTTAGACAGGGAATTGTCAGCTCAGTGAGAAATAGCAGCTCTGCATCCTAGTTTCCCCAAAATCCAAAACTCAACAAAAGCTCTTGTCAGACTAGAACAAAACCATTGTTTTTTACCAAGATACAACCACACACATACTGCTTATGTAAATTGGCTCTAACAACCAAAATGTGAAACTCTAACTTACCTTGGTGAGCAGATATTTAAAGGAATAAATCCATTCCTGTAAGGCATTGTTCACCAGAGTGAATAAACCATCCAGTGTTGCAAAAAATGTAAAAAACTCATGATTGCTTTAATGACAAGAACAACAAATTAGAGCTGGTGCTGGCTGCAGTTAGCACCATTACCAAGTGGGACCTGATGTAAGTTAAATATGATTGGAAATTTCTTTTTTTCTCCCTTCACAGGAGCTCTCAACCCTTTACATGAGATTCAAAGCTTGAAGTACTTTGTTAAAATACTTATTTATATTTAATTCTGGAAGTTTAACCATATGGATGATGTTATTTGGTACCTCATATTCTTATGTTTTTCAGTAACCATGTTTCCCTGGACATTTTATAAATGTGTTAAACTATAGTATTTCCCACACCATGATAGGCATCACAAAGCATAGCTAGGGAGACATGAACAATCTGTGAGGCACTGCAGTGGTATCCTGAAGTGCTAATATTTCTCAGTTTGTGCTGAAAAAAATTATCTAAGGTGGAAAACACTTTAGGTTTTAGGCATTTGTTTTTTCCACAGAAGGCTGTTTTTTCAGCAGAAGGCAGCACATTACTCTTTTCTAAAAGGTAATATAGTCAAACCTTCATTTTTCTGTATAAAATAGCTTTGAATGAAGGATGTAGTTACTGTGTTGTGATGTCAATCGAAACCTACCTTAGTAAAGGAGGTCTACTTATATTGCCAGAACTACATGAAAGGTCTTTTATATCATTGAGAATGTGGCTTCATCTGCAAAGGAATAACGGAATGTGTTTCTGTTTTATGTGTACATATGAACATACATATTTTAAGAAACATCTGTTGACTAGATTAGGATATTTGATTAATGTTTTCCCATAAAATATGTCCCATCATCAAATCTAGCCTCAAACCCAGCCATTCTTTGCTTGGCTCTTAGGCATCCCAGTGAATAGCCATCAAAAGTGGCAAAGAAAAGGACCCACTATGTTATTGCAAGGAGTTGCTTGTCTGCAGAGTAGATATAGACTTGCTCCAGTATCAGTATAGCAAAAGGTGGCTGGGTTGAGGACTTTCTTGACTCTTCTTGATGTTTGGGTGTATGGAATAAAGAGGGCTCACTCAGGTACTTAGACTGAAAATGTTCTGCAAGACCACCACAGGTGGCCTTAGCTTCCTGTAGCACATAGGAAGTGAGAACTCAAGGAGAGAGGTTAAAGAGTATTAGGGAGAAGAGGCTACGTTTGGACAAAAGCCCAGGGCAGATATCAAGTTTGGCATAATGTCAAAAGGTCATGGTGATGGGGGAAGGTTCTTGATGATTAGAAGAAGACAGCTATCACACCCATCTTCAAGAAGTGGAGTAAGCAGGATCCATGGAACTACAGGGCTGCCAACCTCACCTCAGTTCCTGCGAAAGTTATGACACAAATCCACCTGGAAACTATTTCCAGCTATATGAAGGACAAGAAGGTGATTCAGAACAGCTAGCATGGATTTACTAAAGCCAATTATACCTGACCAGCCTGATTGCCTTCTAGATGGCTAGCTGTGTGGATGAGGGAAGATCGGTGGCTGTTGTATATCTTGACTTTAGCAAGGCCCTTTATACAACCTTGCATAGCATCCTTACAGCTATATTGGTGAGATACAGACTGGATAAGTGAACAATAACATAGGTGAAAAATTGGCTCAAAATGTGTCAATCATTAAACTCAAACCAGAGGCCAGTTATTAGTAGCATCCCACAGATGACCAACAGTGAGGTCAATATTGTTCCACATCTTTATTAACAACCTGGATGATGGCATAGAGTGCACTCTCAGCAAATTTGCTGATGATCCCAAATTGGGAGGAGCATAGGCTGGAGAGAAAGGGCTGCTATTTAGAGAGACCTACACAGGTTCAGAATGGGCTAATAAGAACCTTATAAAGTTCAGCAATGCCAAATGCAAAGTCCTGCAGCTGGGACCAAACAACTCCATGCTATTGCTTGGGCTAACTGGATAGAAATCAGTTTTGCTGGAAAAGACTCTTGGATTCTGGTGAGCAATAAACTGAACATGAGTCAGAAGCATGCCTTTGCAGCGAATCTGGCCAATCATCCTGACCTGTATTAGCATGATTGTAGACAGGTGGTTGAGGGAAGTGGTTCTTTGCCTCTATTCAGCACATCATGATAAGGTAGGTGTGGAACAAGTTGCTGCATAAAAAGGTCATTTGGCCTTGTGTAACTGAAGGAATAGACACCACTGTCTAGAAGACTGGTCTGGATTCTCAGCCAGTGTCTATTGGCAAAGCTCTGCTGAATTCAGTAAAATATCCAAGTTTGTAGGACATGAGGAAGTGCCACTTCATTGATATGTCATTTTTTTAATTACAAGGAAAATAAGCGTGTGATTTGGAGTGGACTTGAAGACCTGTGCCTACATTCCACATACATACCCTGTTCACAGAGCACAAGTTAACTGATATGTCAGGCTTTTCTAAGGAAGATAGCTCTGCATAAGGGCATGTGCACATGTACATGTGTGTACAAGATAGCAGTTATGATTTAAAATATAAGTTCAGTTTAATTCAATCTAACATGTTTTCAGCTAGAAATTTTACAGAAGCACATCCAAATGGAAAACAGATTCTGGATCTGAACTCCTGCAAGAAGATCTCTCCATTTAGGAACTGCGATTAACAATCATTAAAACGGTCTAGACATATAGCCAGAAATTATCTGGTAAAATACTTTTCCTTTGGAAGATACCAGTTTGCCAACACAGTTTCTGATAAAAGTTTGTTTATATCAGTCTTCTGATTCTAGAATTTTGGAAAAAAAGAACTGTTAAAAAATCCCTGTCCTGACAGTTTAAAAAAAAAGCTTCATTATTTCTCCAGTTGCAAAAAATTTCTAAAGCCAAATATTTTTTTGAAACATTGATGTTGAAGTGAAATGAGATCATTGTTTAATTTATTAAACAGTGTTAAGGTATTATTACCATGATTCAATACAATGGGCCTGTGTCTGCATCAAAAAAGTGATTGGGGAAATGGAAGAAAAATAGATTTATCTCAGGCTTTTTTTCCAGGTCAGGAAGTCTCTGAACTTGTACAACTGTTCTTAAGTTCCTAATGCTCTTAACTGCAAGAATGCTAGGAACAAGAAGTAACCAATGCAAATTCATTAGGCAGTGCTCAAAGATTTGAATTTAAATCAGAAATAACAACGAGTAAGTAAAATAAAAACCTGAAATAGCAGAAGGTAATCAAAGTGATTCTGCTAAGCAAGACTAGAAATTAATTTAGTCCAGTATCCATCTCTGGCAAATTGCCTTTAAAGGCATATGCCTTTAAAAAGTCCAAAAACAGGTCAAGGTGAAAGTGCCCTTTCCCCAGCTGTATCCTCCTGGAAACCATAAAATCTGCTGTTCCGGGATCATAAGTCAAAGGTTTCATCTGTGTCATTGTGATTAATAGGTTTTGATGAACGTTTCTTTCATGTGTTTGTGTAATTATTTTTTGGACTAATTTAGACTTCTGACATTCAAAGCACTTAGTGGTAAAGATTTCCCCAATTTGAATGTGTGTGGGTTGAAAGGAAAGCATCAGAAAAGTGCCTATCATGCCCAATAACCTCCATTGTGTGATCCTTCTTGCTGGGTGTGATTCACATCTGACATATTCCAGTAAAATCCAGAAGACAACCCACTGACAGTCAATAGAATTGTGTTGTTGTAAAGCATGTTTGCTAATACAGTATATAAGTTAAAGCATTCTATAAGAAAGGCTTTTTTCAATTGTTCCCAAGTCTTAATTTGATTTGTAAGACAAAGATGAAATTTCTATAAATAATACCCATATATATATTTTTTAGCACCTGATGCTCCCTATACTCACTGGAAGCAAACTGTCTTCTACTTAGAGGACTATTTAACTGTGAGACGAGGAGAAGAAATCTATGGGACTATATCCATGAAACCAAATGCAAAAAATGTGGTGAGTCAGCATCACTGATTCCAACTTTATTGATCACAAACTATAATCAACACTAAATAAAATGCATACAAGTAAAACAATGAGCATGCTAAAGGCTCTAAATTCATGTTTATTAGTAAGAGCTCTAGTCACAGCTTCACCAAAGCTGGTGACAGCAATGATAATGCAGTGCTAATGTTACAGAACTCAGCCTGCAAACAAGCTAGCATGGGAAGGAAGAAACGATTCAAGTATATCACTGAGTCAGCTGCCCTCTGCAATCAGCTTGGCTCACATTTTGTGACACAAGTAGGCAAGGGTCTCTTCATATTGTCACTAAAATTAGTGGCAAGATCCCTTCTGACAACACAGGGTGATCCAGAGTACTTCAGTTCCACATCTATAGCCAGATTTCCCACTCAGTGCCCAAGAACTCTCCTTTAGGAAATTAAGTAACAGATTTCAGCTTAATGTCTGTATGACCTCACTGATCAAATGCACTTGAACTCACTAATCGAGTGATATGGTTGTTTGAAAATGGTGGCTTTCCGCAGAAAATACAGATGTTTTGTTTAAGACTAAAGCGAAAGCATGATGGAGATCACACTATCATGACTGGTAAAAACTTCCTCAATTTCTCTGCTATGGGCTGAATCCCTCACCAAGTATGTCAGTTATTCAGTGCTTCTTTTCACTTGTAAGGAAACTATGAGACATGGTCTGATGAACAACCCATGTCTGTAAAGAAGAGCAAGACATGAGAACTATGGCTTCTGGGAGAAACAGTGGCACCATTTTCTGCCAGAAACCTTAAGCAGAATCTCTTCATTTTCTATTACAACATATAGCCATTACAATAACCTGGTTATAATCCATCCATGCAGTTGTTGTAATTGTTGAAATATTGCATTTGTTGATTGTAGCAAATCTTAACATTTCATTGCCTTCCTTTTTTGCTTTACTTTTCCTTTTTTGTACCAAATACAGATTGGATATGGTTTTCATAGTAGTATTGATACAGGGGAGGAAATAAATGCAGAATAAACCTGGCATTAAAACAAACACAGGAGTGAACTCCTGAAGCTACCGCTTGCTGTGAAAGTGGAGGAAAATAGTCTGTTTCCCACATTTATGTTGTCCTTGGGGGACTGGAAGATTTTCTTTTGGGTTGAATGTATGAATTTTCTTTTGAGAGAAAAATGAAGAAATTATTTCAAATTTGTTTGCACAGCAGTAAGCACCTGAATGCAGATTTAGGTGCTAAAATTAAGGTGCTCTTGATGGTTATCATAAGTTATGGTCATCATTAGTTAGTTGTTAGTGCTTTGTTTTTCTGAAACATAAAGCCTTTCAAAAGCTTTCAAAATGAGACAGCTTCGTTTTGTAGGGCTATGTAGTGCCTCTTTCCAAAAAACATGACATATAAAGAATGACTGAGGACTTCTCTGCAATGGGAAGTTTAGTAGATCTGTTCTGGAATAAATCCTAGTGTGAAAGCCCTTTACCCTAGATTAAGAGCATCTCAGTGGGGGATATCCTTAAAAAATTGTTATAGAATACGTATGATAGCACAGCATTTCAGAAGCTTCCTAGTTGTAACCAGGACACTAAATCAGTCTTAAGAAAAATACATAAATATGCCCTAGACATAGATTGTATGGTGAATGCTATTACACATCCTATAGCCTACTTTTTCAATGTTAGCAACATTTAAAAACAAAAGTTGTTAGAAATCACAGTAGGTATCTCTTGAATCTGCAGGTCTTTTCAACCCAAGCAATGATAACTGAATTCATACACTAAACTTATGGTCTTACTTACATGTTACATTCAAATCTTTTTACAGCGTGACCTGGATTTCACAGTAGACTTGGATTTTAAAGGACAGCTGTGTGAAATGTCAGTATCTAATGACTACAAAATGCGCTAGCAAGAAACCTTTCAGAGAGATGAAGAGGAGAATTTTATCAAGTCCTGAACTGCTGAACTTCAAGCCAGGAACAACTGTTCACAAGATTATTATATTAAATACTAGAATGTTTACTGTGATGGAAAGTGGTAACCTGATCCTTCTTGCAGATAGTACAGGGGGCTGGGACCCCGCTGTGAATGTACAGTATACAGAACTATAGCTTTTTTCAAACATATAGGAAAAATAAGCAACAGTCTTGAGTGTTCTGGTTAACTTTAGGATGGCAGAAGATGCATATACGAATTGTACTACTTATGTGAATTTCTGGTTCTTCCAAGCTTTGCATGTTAAAGATGATTAGGGCAGTTTTCTCACTATGAAAGACCACTACAGCACATTACTGTGATAGTATTACTGGACTTATATTCAATATAAATGAATATATATAGTACATGAGAAAAAATATCATTTCATAATAGGAATTTGTTTTGTGATGATTTAATTCTCATTATGCAGTTATGGAAAGATAATGATGTTACCTCTGACAGTACTCTAGGCAGTGATATATTCCATTAACTGTCTAAAATTATAGCTCTGGTAAATATTCCATGCAAAGTGTAAATAAGAGCTGGGCATTTACAGAAAGTTCAACAACTATCTTTTTGAATGTCCTCTGAAAAATGTGGACCATTAGTTTTAAAATTCACCTTCACAACTGGATGTCTGTCAGAGCTCTAAAAAACATTAGCTTTTTATCCTTGAAAATATTCTGTGGTGAGTTTTTATAGCTGGATTTTGCATGAGACCTTCTGAAATCAGACACCTAGTATTTAAATGTGATGAATGCAAAGTCTCTGAAATGGTGGGTAATTCATGTTTCTTGGCCATGCCATATTTCAGTTCTTTGCAAGATTCTTAATACAAAATAATTTTCAAAAAAATAGGAATTAGTGTTTTCTTTTGGTGATGTTTTAGGTAAGTTTTAAATTGCAAATACTATTCTCAAGAGTGCAGTGATTTGCAGGAACAAGCTTATGTCTTTAAAAAAAAAGTCTATGGCTTCTATATTACTAAGATGTCTGTAGCTTCCCGATCCCCTTACACCCCTTGTTTTTCTTACAATATCTCCTACTTATAGTTAAAATATTAACTGCTTATAATTCTTCATACATATGTGTCAAGTCTTTTTACTATCGGAATGTTGACCATTTAATCACATGTAATTCGTCAAAAACTGCATCATCGGTCCTACCTACCCATTTTCCAGTCTGTCTGGCATTAGGCAGTAAATCATGTTCCATCATGTATTGGATGAGATTGACTAGTTTTTTGCCTAAAAATCTTTTTAATCACCTGCAAATAAAGTGTACTTGAAGATGTATTTTGCCAGTATTTGTCAACTTTTACTTTTTAGAAACCTATTTCTATTGTTTTTCCCTTCACAAAAACTGTACAGTGCCTCCATTTTCTTATGGTCTAAAGATTATGGTCTAGGGATTGTATCACATGGTATCTATGTAGAATGAAATTAAACTGTAATTCAGCAGTAAAAGATACTGTTTGCAGTGTAGTTAATCACTATTGTTTTAAAGCACTTTTCTTTAATTTTCTTGGAATGAGGATGAACAACTTTCCTCACAAAATGACTAGGATTTTATCTGTCAAATATTGCTGTCATTTTCAAGGGATCAGTTCATAGCTAGATCAGCTGCTCTTTCAGTAGTGGCTTGGACCAGAAAAACATCTAGAAGACCCTTTCTACTAACACTTCTGTGATTCTAGGACTTTAAGGTAAGGAATTCTACCAGATTTTTTCTCAGCCTTCTCCATTTATGTAAAGATACTCAAACAATATTTTTAACTTCTCCTTTCACTAATCACTGAGCTGACTATAACTGCAAGAGGAAAGACTCTTGCTTTGTTTGTCTAACTTACACTTTGACAGTACTTCAGACTATCCACTTCTCTTGCCCACTGCATGAATCTTTAATATCTTTAATATTAAAAAAAAAAAGGGAAAAAACCCAAACCCACCTCGTTTAAAGACAGACAAATCACAAAAACCAACCAAACAAACAAAAAAAAACCCAAACAAATTCACAAGGGGTCTGCCTACCTTTACTGAGAATGCATCATTTTTGCCTGACAGAAACCATTGGACAAGAAGCAGCAAAGAAAACTTGATCAGAACAGCTCATTAACCAGTTTGAGAGGTATTTTAGGCACTGCTATGTACTGCCCTTTCTGCCTCATCTTTCACCTGACAGTGAAATGTAGGTCTCTCTTCAACAGTGGCCACCTTGGCTTCTTACTAAAAGTGCCCGTTCACTTCAGTGTTGCAAGATTCAGTCCTTGCTTATATGTTAATGGCACAGCTCTGAGGTGATGACCAGACTTCAGTCACATTCAGCCCTGGGAAACTGGCTTGTGCTCTTCTTCACATCAAAAGCATATCACATAAAGATATATCTCCATCACATAAAGAACCAAGAATGCCTACTGCAGTGTTGAGTATCTTCAAATCACAGCAATCAAAAATAAAATTTAGGCTTCCAAGACCATTACAGGTGTTACCTACCCCTACGGTTTTGAAAGCATCAATGAGTTCAGCATGCATGGGCTCTGTTAGGTCAGCATTACTGAAAAAAATATGCAGAGAGCTCGCAGGGCAGGTGCAATCAGATGATAGACTTTCCTCAGCAATCTGACAAGTCTGGGTAACCACCACAGAGTCTGAGCCTAATCTTCTCAAAGTCTATCACGGACTCCAGGGTTGAACCCAAGCCAGTGATCCTCAAAGCTTTGCATTAAAATACTAATGACAAAATAAACATTGCCGTCTGAAACAGACATACATTTAAAGCTTTTCTTTTCCTTCCACTGACAGGAAAAAAAGATCATGAGCTGAGGACAGAGCATGACAAAGAAACTGAAATACAGTATTTACACAAAAGACTGTCCTTGATGAGTAACAAGTACAGCACTGGAGAAAAGAGAAAGCAGGTTGCTTCTGCCTTGACTCTCATCTTAAGGCAAAAGTATTAAAAATCTTCTCAGGGATTGTCCTATCATTTGAAACACAAAGGAGCATCCAAAAAAAGCTAGATACTGAACAAACCTCTAAAAGGCATAGTGTGCAATTCACACTTGCAGTGCTTGTACGATTAGGGAGGTAGTCCCTAATGTTAAGAGGGCCACTCTCTGTTCCCAAGGTTCTCTACAGAACAGTATAGTATGACTCTATTGTCACATGCATTTCTTATTGCCAGCACCAACTAGCCCTTGCCAGATGTTATTAAAGTTTCACAGTTTTGGTTTGGTTTGGTTTTTGCAGGACTTGTTCTGGGGACCTTCCTATGTGCAGAATTAGTAGTTTTAGAGCCTTTTTACACCATCTTAGACTTTTAATAGGGGTTGAAACAGTCCAGAATATAGACAAGAATATACTTGAGACAGCATGTTTTTACTACAGAGCTAGTTTGAAGAACATTCTCAGAGATAATTTCTTACAGGATTTGTCTTAATTTTGATATTAATTCATAATTTTGTGTTCAGTTTTGGGCCCCTCACTACAAGAAGGACATTGAGGTGCTGGAGTGTGTCTAGAGAAGGGCAATGAGGCTGGTGAAGAGCATAAGTCTTACGAGGAGCAGCTGAGGGAGCTGGGGTTGTTTAGTCTGGAGAAAAGGAGGCTGAGAGGAGACCTTACCGCTCTCTACAACTACCTGAAAGGAGGTTGTAGCATGGTGGGCATCGGTCTCTTCTCCCAAGTAATAAGCAATACGATGAGAGGAAACGGCCTCAAGTTGCACCAGGGGAGGTTTAGATTGGATATTAGGAAAAACTTCTTCACTGAGAGGGTGGTCAGGCATTGGAACAGGCTGCCCAGGGAAGTGGTTGAGTCCCCATCCCTGGAGGTATTTAAAAGACAGGTAGACATGGTGCTTAGGGACATGGTTTAGTGGTGGACTTGGCAGTGCTAGGTTAATGGTTGGACTTGATGATCTTAAAGGTCTTTTCCAACCTAAACAATTCTATGATTCTATGCTATGATTCTATATATTAATTTACCACATACAGATTTGGTGGTAAATAATCAAAAGAAACTTCTTTCACTTAGAAGGTAATTTTATAAAGGATATATGGTATTATATGTATATAATGAAGAATAAATCCCCACTTTAAGAAGGTAATCTAACAGTCACTCTCCTTTATCTGTAAAATACATCCCACACATGCTACTTTTACATAAAAACTACATATGTATGCTGTCATTTCAACATCTTGTCAATAACATTGTAAGTGGCCCAGTTCATATGGCTTGAACTCAGTGTCATATAGGACAATCTGTCTGTGTTGTATAATGAGTAACTTCAAGTGCTGTGCATACAGCTAGATGTAACGTGTCCTCTGTGACGAGAATACACCACAAGCCTTTTTTTTTTTTTTTTAAGTGTAAATAACACTTAAAGATTTACTTAACGAAGGCATGTCCCGGTGTCACTGATATAATAGACAAAACAACACAGTATTATAATTACTTTCAAATTACAAAGCCCCATGAGTGTTCTAGAAATGGGAAATTAGCTTTTAGAAGGCTGCTTTATTGATGAACATGCTTTTCTTTTGCAGGCAGGAGTAGCAGGAGAGAGGAGTGGAGAGGGTGGTGGAGCAGGAAGGCACCAGAGTGACCCACCTCTTATCAGGCTGCGGGTTCCCTTGTTCAGGTGGAGTCAGGGTCTCAGAACTCCTTTCTCAGCTGAATAAAAGTAGATTGCTTTAGCCACAGGCAATGACTCACACTGTATATGGTGAGGACGGGTGAGGGGGAAAAAAGAAGGTATTCAAAATGCAAAGGAGACAGCAAAACAGAGTAGCTGGAGTTCCTATAAAACCTCATAGAATCCTAAAATCATTTGTATTGGAAAAGACTTCTGGAAGTCTTTAGTCTAACTGCCTTCTCAGAGTAGGGCTAACTTCAGAGCCAATTCAAATTGCTCAGGGCCTTGTCCAGATATGTCCTGAACATTTCCGAGAACAGAGATTCCCCAGCCTCTCTGGGCAGCTGTTCCATGCTGTGCTAATCTCACAAGGAAGCATTTTATGTTCAGCTGGATTTTTCTCTTGTTATAACTTGAGACTGTTGGCTCGTATTCTTTTACAATTTGCCCCTGAGAAGAGCCTGGCTCTGTTTTCACTGTAACTCTCCATTAGATACTGGTAGACACAATTAGTTCCCACCTTAGTCCCCTCGTGGTAACTCCTCTCTTCCCTATACAACCCTTGATTGCATCCTAGCCTTTCATATTAATTACACCACCTATCCACCTGTAATCCATCCCCCTGCTTTTTTCCTTCTAACAGAGGCTAGGGTATACATTGCTGCTGTTAGATACTGCTTAACAAATGTATCTAAGGGTTTTCCAAAGAATGTTAAACTCCAAGGGTCACTAATTAAAGAGAACATCAAGGTCTCTTACCGTGTTGTATT